TCACACCTATATTTACGCCCAATTACTATCTAATATATAACAAAAGACCTCTATATAAGCACACCTCTTTACAAGAATATTTTTTTAAAAAAGTTCCTATGGTCCCAAAAGTGTGATTATAAAGAGGTATGACTGTATACCAAATTAAGTATAGTATGTAAGTACAGTACGTATATGCATTTATACATCATTTTGTTTAAGCCACTATTTTGAATTTAACCCTAGATACCTACATATGTACCTCTAGAAAAATGGTTCGGAAAAAAAAAAGTTACAACAAACTAGAAGACTAATTTAAAACAAATATTTGGCACTATTAGTAAGTTTTAATCGAGCCGTGGATTAATTTGGTTCGAAAATAGGTTTTTTCTACAGCTAAGAAATAAGGATTTAACTCTACTACTATTATTTTATTCTTTTTCTCTAACACTAATTTAAATCCAATATATATATTTTTTCTTTTTATTGCTTTATAGTTATATTTAATATGCTGTGTATTTTTTTCTATAACTTAGGCACATTACTTTTAATATATAGTCTAATCGTAAATTTTGTTCACTATATCACATGGTCGCATATTATAATAATGAAGTTAATCACATATTTAATCAATTTGAATTTAATATATAATCTTGATCCATTTTTTTTCTTAAAACTTTTGTGGAGAAATGTAAAATGAATATCAATAATACAACAATATTTATAGTTTTTTTTAAATGTTTAATTACTAATCCTACCTTTTCTTTCTCTATTTTTGCTAGATAAAGCTACCAACTTCATAAAAACACGAATAAAGAAAGCAACATACACAAAATATTTTAATAACTTTTATAATTAATTATTGCTTTTAAGTCGCAAGCTTGGTAACTATTAAAGTCATCATGTGAGCAATATAATTTTTAAGTTATTTGGCCTAAAATTTTAAAGCACCAAATTTTAATGCATTTTTATAAACAAAATTAAATTTAAATAATAAATAATTATTGGATGTATAGCATCCAATAACAGTTTTATTTGGCAGGAGAAATAAGAATACCGTGATCTGAAGGAACATTGGATGATTATTTTGGATGACAAATAACAGAAGTATCTGGCTTTGAATTTAATGTGCTAACCTGGGCCCCGAAGGGGCTCAGGTTGTCAAGCACATTAAATTCAAAGCCAGATACGCTGTTATTGGATGCGAAACATCCAATAACGGATTTATTTTTCTTTTTCTGTTATAACGTGAGTTTGTGTGAGTCTATTTGGTGTATAACAACTGTTATACGACCCATGATTACTATAAAAAAGAAAAATAATAGCAAATATAGAATTTAATCACCTATTCTGTATAAACAATTAAATATGGTTACTTGATTTACACATGGTAAACAATAAACTTATCACGCAACTGTAGTATAATTGTAATATTGATGTGTTGAACAACGAAATAAAATTTCAACTATAGAGAATTTTTTGCTAAATTGCTCAAAATAATAAAAAATTACATGTATATTAAACATACAAGAAATGTTAAATGTTGTTAAAATTTAACTTTGAATCTTTTTGATGATTATTATTGCTAAATTTTGTTCATTTATTACATGTTATTTTCAGTTATTACAAGTAAAAAAAGAAACCAAAAAATGCCTCGAGTAAGAATTTTAAATAAGCATGTACAAAAAGCATATTATAATATTTCTTCTGCTTCTAACTTGTCACAAAACTTTTATGAACATAATCTTGGTTATATGAATATAGAATGTATACATTGTGGTGCACTTTATTGGATTGATGAATATATAACTTCCTCATCTCAAAATAACCACAAATTTGCAAAATGTTGTTCATATGGTAAAGTTCTTCTACCTTGCCTTCAGTCTCTACCAAATCCTTTGCATCAACTTTTGAAGACCAAGACGAACATTCAAAAGAATTTTGTTATAATATTCACCAATACAATGCAGCATATGCATTTACTTTACTTGGTACAAATATTGATAAAACTGTTCTTTATAATTGTGGGCTATACAGTTTTCATATCAATGGTGAATTGTATCATCTTACAGGTTCTTTTCTTTCTAAAGTGAATACTAATGCATCTTATGTATAGCTTTATATTTATGATTCTAATATGGCTCATTATCTAAAAATTGAACAAAATAAAAATTTATTATCACAAACAATATGAGAAATACAAGAACTTTTACATAATCACCATACTTTTTATTCTATATATAAACAAGCTCATGAAATATTTCTACAAGCTCAACAAAACAATACAAAAAATTTAGACTTAGTAACTTTTCTTCATTTTAATAAATCAACTAACAAACATTGATACAATCTTCCTATCTCAGATGAGACTGCTGTAATATTACCTAGTAATGGGTCATTGTCTAAAATTATGCATAATATTATTTTTTATCTTCAAGGAGGTCCTCTTCAGAGAATTCATAAAGGGCATCCTGCATATTTACCTCTCTATTATGTTTTACTTTTTTCTCACAGAGAATTAGGATGGCATGCTGATCTATATCATAATTTAATAGATATTCAAGAAGAATCTTTAAAAAAATAAAACAATACTTTACATCTTACTCAAATGGACTTTTATTCTTTTAAACTTTTTCTATGATACAATAAATTTTTAACAATTCTTCATGGAGGTAAATTATTCCAAGAATTTATTATTGATGCATGGGCAGCAACTAAGCAAAATAGATTAAGATTTCTGTGCATGAACCAAGACAAATTATGTGCTAATATTTATCAAAGTATTGCTAATATAGTTGCAAACAATTCAGATAATGAAATATCTGCTAATAATATTGGATATTGAATTATCTATACTTTTATATATATTGAAAGTGCTTGTTAAATATTTGAACTATTTTAAGATTCAATAGCAATTACTTGATTTTATGGGCATCCAGATATTTTTGAAACAATGAAAGCTAATCCAAACTGGCCAGAAATAACCAATGATTTGTTTTTAGCCAAACTCCTACAAATATATTAGACTTGGTAGTATGTGTGTTTGAATTAAAGCATTGTGCACTTGTTTATGATATTAAATATAATAATATTTTTAATAGAGCTGTTACACATAGTTATACAATTGAATTTCAAAAGCATGGTCTCTCATATATGCATTTTTTGATTTTTTTTCATAATAATAAAAAAATAAAAGGATCTACAAATGTTGACCATAAAGTATATGCTAAATTCTTTAATAAAAAAAACAGATTCTGCTCTTTTTGATATTATTCTTTGATGTATAGTTCATAGACCTTGTGGTTCTAGAAATCTATGTGCTCTATATATATAAATAGAAAGTGTAAAAAAGTTTACCCAAAAGTATTGAATATTATAATATTATTAGATACAAATGGATACTATATTTATACTAGAAAATATTATAGATAGTTGATTTTTATTTATTTTTTTCTTTATTTCTTTATAACTTATTATTATTATTTATTATTTTATTTATTATTATTATTTATATACTCTACTATCTATATTTTACAAAAACACCTATATTATACTATTAATTTTATATAGTATATATATTTGTGTAACTTCAAAACCAATTTTCTCAAAATTTTATTAAGACAATCTCAAAAGTGGTTCTATGAAACACCCAGTATTTCAATCTGTAGAATAATGTTTGTTAATAAACTTTTAACTCTTGACATAGTAAAACTTTTGTAAATTGAAGATATTTCAAATTATTCTTTGATTTTCTAATGTGTAATATGTAATTTTTAATTATGTTACAAAGGATTATCATCTGTATATCACATGACTTTATATGAAAATTAGCCTCAAAACATTATAAATAGACCCTCTCTCCTACCTTTTGCAAAATAACTTTTATATTTTTCCTTCTTTTAGTTATTTTTTTTTTTTTTTATGTATTAAGGTGAGGCCTTGCTCGTATCTTTATTGAGTAATTTATATAAGTAATTACATAGTATTTTATGAAGAACTTA